CGAAGGAGATGGGCGTTCTTGCGGGTCGGAAGGGGGGATGGCCGGAGGCCCCGCGGTGGCGGCCGGAGCAGCAGCATCGGCGGCAGCTCCAGCGGCGACCTCCGGTGGCCGTGTTCCCCCGCGGCGGCGCCGGGGGGAATGGCCGGGCTCCCCGCAGAGGCGGCAGGAGCGGCAGCATCGGCGGCAGCTCCAGCGGCGACCTCCGGTGGCCGTGTTCCCCCGCGGCGGCGCCGGGGGGAATGGCCGGGCTCCCCGCAGAGGCGGCAGGAGCGGCAGCATCGGCGGCAGCTCCAGCGGCGACCTCCGGTGGCCGTGTTCCCCCGCGGCGGCGCCGGGGGGAATGGCCGGGCTCCCCGCAGAGGCGGCAGGAGCGGCAGCATCGGTGGCAGCTCCGGCGGCGACGGAGCAGCGGCAGCATGAGCATATGACGGAGCCGGAGAGCAGGGTGGTCAGTGTTCCCCCCGCGGCGGCGGCGGGGGAGATGGCCGGAGGCCCCGCGGTGGCGGCCGGAGCAGCAACATCGGCGCCATTCCCCGCAGTGGGGGCAGGAGCGGCAGCATCGGCGGCAGCTCCAGCGGCGACGGCGGCGACCTCCGGTGGCAGTGTTCCCCCCGCGGCGGCGGCGGGGGGAATGGCCGGAGGCCCCGCGGTGGCGGCCGGAGCGGCAGTATCGGCGGCAGCTCCGGCGGCGACGGAGCAGCTGCAGCATGAGCATATGACGGAGCCGGAGAGCAGGGTGGCGAGCGGAGCAGCGCGCAGCGCGGTGTTGGCGGAACTTGCGCGGATGGCGGGGGGGCCTTCGCGGGTGAGCACATCTGCGGCACCTGTTGCCACACCTGCCCCCGCGCACTCGGCGGCGATGGCATCGGACGGACTGTGGACGGAGATGGTGCATGAGGGCGGTACAGGCAGACGTCGTCGGCAGGGGAAGCGGGAGTTTGTAGCGACCCCCGCAGTGACGAGATCGCGGGCGGAGCGAGATGGGCCAGGACCGGGGATATTCGCTCTTCTAGCCACGGAGGACGAGATCAAGCGGTCTATCGCCGAGCTTCCTGCACCGGGCGTCGCTGAGCCAGCCCTGCCGACGGGGCTGGTGTGCGACCTGGAGACGCCTGAGACATACGGGGAGGCGCACGCGGGGCCCCACCACCACATCTGGACCAACGCCGAACGCAAGGAGTTTTTCGGGCTGAATGCAGTGGGCACCTTCGAGGAGGTCGGGGCGGAATAGCAACGAGGGACGAACGTCATCTCCGCCAAGTGGGTGTATTCATGGAAGGGAGACGAGTTTGGGTATGCTGTGCGTGCTAAGGCTAGGTTGGTAGCCCGTGGGTTTGCGCAGCGTGAGGGTGTTGACTTCTTTGAGACTTTCTCCCCGTGTCCTTCCATCACGAGCATTCGATTGCTAGCCGCCATTGCCTGTGTGTTAGATTGGGACTTGTGCCATTTCGATGCCGAGCAAGCCTTTGTCCAATCAGAACTGGATGAGGTTGTGTTCATTCGTCTTCCCCCTGGGTGCGGTGCGCTTTCCGGTAAGGTCGTACGGTTGAGACGGAGTCTATACGGTCTGAAGCAGGCGTCCCGCACATGGCATCATCACTTGATGCGTGGCATGAAGAGTCTTCGTTTCGAGTCTTGTGCCGCCGATGCGTGTGTGATGCGTCTGATCGAGAGCGGTGTAGTCACCATGGTGGTTGTGATCCACGTAGACGACATCTTCGCTATCGGGCTCAAGAGCAGGTGCGATCAGTTTGGTGTTGACCTCAACCGGTATGAGCCCATTTCCAACCTTGGGGAACTGCGATGGTATGCGGGTTGCCGGTTTTCTCGTGACACGGTGTTGGGGATGGTGACTATTTCGCAACACGCTGTAGCGGAGAACATCGTTGCCAAGTTCGGTGTGACGACGGACAAAGAGACACCTATGGTTGTTGGGTTGAAGCTTGAGCAGTACGACGCCGACGAGCCCGATGTCGACGAGCCTTTCCGGTCGCTAGTGGGACACTTGATGTGGCTGGCGAATCAGACTCGCCCGGATATTCTCAACGCGGTACGTGCCGTTGCGAGGTATTCGCACGCGCCGAAGCGACTGCACTGGGAGGCGGCTTTGCATGTTTTGATGTATGTTAGATTCACGAGCGAGTGCGGGATTTACTTTTCAGAGGGGCACGGTGGGAGGAGGTACTTTTTGTCGATTCGGACTTGGCCAACAAGGCAACTGACCGGCGGTCTGTTTCTGGGGCACTAGTGATGTTCGCTGGTGTGTGCGTGATGTATCTGTGTAGGACGCACAAGAGCGTCACCCTGTCTTCGACGGAAGCGGAGTACGTGGCGATGTCTGATGGGATGAAGGAGGCTATTTTTCTGAGGTATCTGTGGAAATTCATCTTCCGGGCCGTGATGCGGGGTGCACGCCGGTGTGGGAGGTGGGAGGACAACGTAGGCGCTATTCACTTGGCAAGTAAACCGGCTACTACTCCCAGGGGGGCTGTTGGATTGATTGATTGATTTGATTTTGACTTCATGTTCAGGATGGAATGGATGATACAGCAGGGGGGCTGGTGGAGCGGTTTCTTTGTTAAGGTATTGGATGTCGGAGACAGGGTTTGGCATGTTCTTGTAATTTGAACTGGCCATTGAGTTGGAACATGAACATTTATCTGAGGAATGAATTTGTTCTGAGTAGTCAGGACGTAAGACACGTTTTCCCGGAGTTACCCGTCCTCCCCTTTCTGACGTGATTCTGATGTAATGTTGATCTTTTTGCTGGGTATTTTTCCAAGGGTGATTGTTCGTGTTTTGACTGCTTGAGAATTGGGTAGAGCACTTTTCTCGAGAGGGTGATTTATTTTTCTTGACAGACCTTTTAGGGGTAGAAATTTGACATCAAAAAGGTTTGAAAGCTTTGCACGACGTGTTCTGTTGGACGATCCGGCGATTTCGTGGGACATGTTCTATTGGCAGAGTCGTTTGGATTGGAATGGTGGATGATTTATTGTCAGCATAAGGGTTTTGGTTTTTCTGTCTGCCGTTTTGGCTGGCAATGATAGTCGTGTCGGGGATTTCGTAGATCGTATCTCGTACCGAGCAGGGGGGCTGTTTGGGGTGCTCGGCAGAGTATACTGTCTACGGGGCCTCCGGGGGGTACGCGGATGGAATGTATT